ATAAAGACAAAGAAATGTACACCTGAGGGTTAACAAAGGTGTATTGAAAGCGATTCAACAGTTATGAAATAAGAGAGTCGTGTGAAGATGGCTTATGTCTGTCATGGAATGAATGACTTTATGTATGAAGAAAAACTGGGTTTTGAGAAATCTCTTAATATATTGCTACGCCTTTTATTTCATTCAAGTGGGCGAATGGAAGGGATTGGCGAATTGGTCTCATCATAAGCCGAAGGAGAATTGTCCTGGAGCTGTGACTATATATTTGTGCAAAAATGTCTTAGTTACTGGTGAATTTTTTATAATTGTTGGTACTCCTTCTTGCATCGTTGTTTTTCACCGGAGAGTGTAACGATAAACTTGAGGTGGCAGAGCTCTAAACCGAGTTCGAGACCCGGCTGGTAGGGCTGATAAAAATACCGGCCCCAAAAGCAGTTTGATAAGACCAAGAATTATAAGTCTAGAAAGAGTATGTTGTATCTAACGATTCTGCTTGTCACTAGAAGACACTGAGTGCAGGTTTGCGGAACTTACGGAGGACGAAGCCATCCTTTCAGTAGGCCCAAGTCTGGCTGTGTTTGCCTGTTGCTGCCTATATGGAGAAGAGTAAAAACTCGTGGAACTCAACACTGGTGAATTGGGCCGAAAAGCCTCAATCGATCGTGTTCTTGGAAGCCGCGGGGATAGTGTGGGTCCCAATTCCGAAAGGACAAGCTCTTGACGATGGTGATCTGATGGCGGCTTGAGTCGCGACAGAACCTGTTGGCGTTGACGATCGAAGTCTTGGCTTTGCTGATGAGGATGATGCTGTTGCTGTTGCTGCTGTTGGTGGTGGGATTGTCGCTGCAAGTCAGAGTTGACCTCTATCGGCCCTAGAAGGCTGCCTACTCTTGGCTCCAATACACGCCGTCTTGGAGTTGGTGGAGGAGTCCAAGAGGAGATGGATCGGCTTGCCACGGGATAAGCAAGACTGGCAACAGTTTGATGCGGATGTAACGGAGAGGCGTGGCGACGACGAGCAGCATAGGAGGCTGGCAGACTAACTGGAGGCGAAAGCGAAAGCGAAAGTGACGCTGTAGTCGTGGGGATAGAGGCAATCGATGTGGCGGAATTGATGCCAACTATGGCGAAAGAACCAGCACCACCAGAACCGCTTCCGTCACCAGCACGACCAGCATGAGCGCGACCGCCTGGAGAAGTGCTCACCGTTTCCAGACGCCCTTCTGAGACGTCATGTGCCACTCTACTTGTTTCCGGATTCAGTCTAGTGGCCCGACGTCCGGAAAGGCGGGAACGAGAGGGGATCAGTGTCGGACTACGTCCACGACGGTCTGAAGATGGTAGATTGGAAAAATGAACGGAAGTTAAATAAATCTTGAGTTTAGCCAAAGCAGATGAACATCGCCTTGGAAAGAAATATTAAGATCATATATCTCCATTTTCTCAGATAAAGTAATCTCTTCAATAGGCACTGATTGTTGTGGGTCTTTCTGATTAATTAAATAATTGAAAACTAAATATATCGTCAAACCCTCTGCTCATTTTGGCATTAGAAAATCAACTATGCAGATGCAGCTTTTTGAATACGAAAAGTCTGCAAGACTGGTCAGATAGATAAGTTTGTTTAGATGAGTCAAGTGGTCCGTATGGGCCATAAGAAAAACTGAGAAAAGTTGAGGATAAGAAATGGATCAACGGACACCAACAAGAAAACGAAGGGAAACTACTTATTTCCATGATAGGTTGAATGCAGTAAAAATATGGACAAAGAAGACAAAATAACTGGGAACAATAAGGTGTCATATTGAGTAGAGAAAGAATAAGCACGCCAAAAGACGTATAGACGAGCAATATGCAGAGTAAAACGTCGTTTAAATCATTTAATAATAGATTCTGTAGTGCTAAAAGTACATAGTATCATAGGCTAATTGTTAGAAAAGACTTGGGAAATGAATTCTTTCAAAGGCTTGTTTATATGAGTGGTTAAGGAAAAAATGTTGGCAAAGTAAAAAATTAAGATATTAGTAACCATAGATTGTTTAAGATGATTTAATACTAGATAATGCAGCCTACCCCAGAATGATGTGAGTAGACAGATCTGCAATTATTACTTAT